CTGTGCGCAAACAGCAGTAGATATATATTAATTTATAAAAATGTAAAAAGGGCACTTTCTCTGGAGGAAGAAAAAGGGCAGGGGCTCAAGCCCACTTTGATGTCTATGTGTGCACATGCCTGAATAGATACATTGAATAAATGAAATACTCATATTAGAGGACTCTTTTAAATACATCTGGGCACTTTATTATATGTTGCCCACTGCAAAGGAAGTCATCTTTTATATCCACCATCAGTCTTTATTTCATCTAATTTGTTCCTGCCTCTTGTTATCATTGTTTATTTCAGTCTGACCTTGTCCTTGTTGAACGTTGTCTGAGGGCTCTGATGTATGTCAACCACTGCCTTTACCCAGTCCTCTCACGACAACTCTAGCGCTGTGATGACATTGGCACAGGAGGTGCACCCCAATTCATTTCTCATTATTATCCCTCCCTGACCTCCCTTTGATACCTGCTTCTTCTTTATGAGTCAGCACAATGTGAGGTTATACTAGTCCGTCTTAGTTAAAGGTGGGGTATGTAATTTATTTCAGAAACACTTTTTGTTATATTCCATGGAATGCTCTTAACATCCCGATAGCAATGAATATATTAAATGCTTTGACAATAAATACATTAAAAAAAAATCATCTGTGGAAGCCGTAGCACTGTAAAAAGCACGACCAATCATTTAGCCGGCCCGGCTAAAATAACTGGATGGCCTACCTGCCTGTCAGCCTTCCATCTGTGCACAAACTTATCTCGTGCCCTCATTGGTCATGTGCACGTTCGTGTGTGTTGGAGGAGGGGCTCTGTAAGGAAGTGGCAGATTTTTTCCAGTTGTGTATTTTCAAATTCTAGCGCACTCGAGCTGGTTTCTCCAAAATTACATACCCCACCTTTAAGCTTACAGCTATTCTACGGATGTGCACGATTGTTGAAAATGAATCTAAAATGAATTGATCTATCCCAAAAACGAATAATATTATAAACGATGGGGTATAAAGTACAATGTATTTGCAGAAAATGGTTTTAATACAGGCCATTTTAAGTAAACCTGAGGTGGGATACATCATGTTATGTTCAGTGAAGGAAAAACCCTATAAACCTGTCTGAAGGTTGCTTCTCTCTCCCACCCATTTGACTCCAGTACTCCCCCTGCCTGCCGTTGCTTCTCTATATGCTGTGTTGTTGCTCGATAAATCAGTCAATATTTCTATTTTCATCTTTATCAGGATTAGAAAGCCTCAACTATATTTGAACCTTTGTTGGATAGAAGTTTTGTGTTTTTGCTGTCTAGATTTGTGTGAAATCTGCAAATGCTATGTCTTGTGGATTAACTTGCCAGTCAGAGAGAAAGTTTCCAATAATGCAGTATAGTTTGGGGAAAAGTTTCCCACTGATTCAAATATAAAGAGGAAGTACACGCCTGAAGGGACTGTGTCTGCACAGGTTTCTATCCATCTGCCTGTCCCCTGTCTACTTACTCGTCTCTGTTATTTCGAATTTATTTTCCTCTTTGCCTCTCTGAGGTTGTGTCAAATAGCCTTGAATGGAAAGGGCTTATCCTCTTCCCTCGTGCCCAATGAAATGTTAGTTTAAAGTGACACTTTAACTGGCCAAAATGTCCTACTTTCAAAGTATTTCCAGTCCAACATGAGTAACTAAAAGCAGGCAAATGTAAAATAATGGTTTGCATTTGAAGTTTGGAGCAAAATGTTGTCTATAAAGCAATATACTGTTATCCAAACGCTGTTCTACACTGAGTTTGTGTTGAATTCAATACACAGTATACCTAAAAAATCAGTATAGCCAGTGTTGTTCACTGCACTGTGGGGCCTCTTAAGGTCCTTACACACCAAGCCGCTTTTCGGCGTTGATAGATGTCTGGCCAGCTCTCGACACAGGTTCGGGAAAGCCCCATGAGCTTCTCGCTGTAGAGTGAAAATGGAACGCACACGCTATTTGTTGTTTGTTTATATCACGCAGTCTGTTCTTCTTCTCTTGGTTATCACGCAGTCTGTCTTCCGGTTGTTGCCTCTTTTGAATGACAAATACACACTACCGCCACCTGCTGGTAAGGAGAGTTATTGCCACTCACGCATGCGCAGTGCGTACGTGCTACTTGGCCGTCGGCTGAAGTCTTTGCGGTGTGTTCCAGTGTGACTGTTTGGCCAGGAGACGTGAGGCGACACAACAATCGGGTCCGACGTGGTCTTTGGTGTCAGTTTGGTGTGTAGGGGCCCATAGCCGTGGGAAGTAATTTTACTTAGGGGGTGCTCGTGAATTGTCAACGGGGGGGGGGGGGGGGGGGGGGGGGGGGTGTGCTAGTGAACTGTCAACGGGGGGGGAGGACACGGGACACGGTGGACCTCTGTCGCCTGTCAGCGCAGCTTCAATGATGCCGTTTAAAAACACATTAAGGGCGGTTCCGGTTTAAAGTTATTATCCTGTTTAAATGTTATTAGAACTAATGTTATACCTTGCAATGTTTGCAATATAATTTTTCATGCTCTTTTTGTATCCAACTAACAGTTAATTGTGTAGCTTCCTTCATGTGCAAAGAGATGGCAGGATAGTGATGGAGAGGAGGTTGTTTTGCGATGCAGGCATGCTTTTTTCCCTTCGGTAAATCCTTTAGTTAGCTTGGTTAGGATTAGGTCTGAAAAGTCTCTCATTTGCATCCAAAGCCCTAGGAGATTCATTGGTGAAGAAATCCAGCTTCTCCATTCCTTCCAACTGAATTTGACTTTAGTGTTTATTTTATCTATTTTTATTGCAGCCCACGTCTGATTTCTGCTCTCTTTCATACCGTCTCCTTGATTAATTTGACTTCTGTTGCTGGAGGTATTGCACGCTAATTTGAAGATATGAAAGAAATGTCACATTTGACTGGCTGTCAATTGTAATATAGAGTGTGTCTGTATTTCAGCTTTTTAGATCTTTTTTAGTCTTGCATTTGGTGGAAAAGGTTAGAATAAATAATATGTATTTCTATTTTATCCCGGGGCCCATTTTTGCACAGGGGCATCACACATACATAAGAAAGCTCAGTGTTTTCCACTGAAGAAAACTGAATCCAAATTCCCATATGAGTTATATTGAAAAGACTGGTATCCCAGTTAGCCTTAAAGCCTGAGGCTATATGGGATAGACCCTAATGGAACACAGCTATGGCATGAAGGAAATGGGTGGTAAAGACTTCAGGAATCTATCAATGGGATAAAAGGGACACGCTTAGAGAGATGGGGGATATCCCAAGTGTCTGACTGAAATCGCAATTCTTTTCTAAGGCTAGATTTCACAGCATTCAATCGAGTGTTTCAGCATTTTAAAAAGTTACATTTTTTGTTCTAGTATTGTTCCATGTCTGAACAAAAGCAGTATCCGTCTTTGTTACTTATGTGTAAAAGCAGAGTTTTGACGGCGTACTACAAAGAAAGGATTAGGGCCTGTTGAGAAATGAGGGGAGTCAAAAGGTAAAGTCATGGCCAGTGAAAATATAAACAACCACCACTCGCATCAGTCGAACACAGGTCCCATGCTCCAGCTTTGGAAATGCTCTGCCATTTATGAAGTGCTTTCAATCTATGTGCCGGTAGCCTTTTTGTTTTATAAACGCACTCCGAACTTTCAACACTTTCCAGGGGGTTTCATCTTTTTAGTTTGAATTTGATGTTCAATATGTAACAAACACAAACAACCTGTACCATTGAACTCAGATCAGACTCACAGTGAGACCATTCTCCAACTGAAGAAGTCCTGATGTGTTGCCTAAATTACATTCAGGGTTAGTATTGTATACTTGATCTCCTAACTTGATGTGAAGCAGCACCAAAATGAGCAAAAAGAGTATATTGTATGTCATGGAGTTATTATTTAATTAACCTGTGCCTTTATTTTTCTGCAATATCGTTGTTTAAACCCAAGACCCTAGGGAGATTGTAGAGTTAAATCATAGCAATTAATTCAGAAGCAGAGAAATGATTCGGTCCATGCGTGGTGAATGCAAGAGGATACTTTATAAAATTCCATTCATGCCACTTTGCCAGTGTGTTATGGGAAATCTGGTTGACTTGCTTACTTTTCAGCAACGTTGGGCCCCCAATGGTGCGTTTCAGATTTATAAATGGCTGCTGTTATCAAATCTTAATGCTAAAAGCAACTGCAACTATAAACACTTTGGACATATTGGACATATATAAAACATTTTGCCCTTTTAGCTTTAACACGTAGAATATTTGTCACTTTACTTGACCTCGTGGTTTTCCATAAATGTACGCTGCTGCGACCTAAAATGCCTGGAGCTGTTGGAGCTCTGACTGAAATGATGAATTGCACTAACACATTGAACCAGTGCACAGTAGAGTCACTGCAGAAACGTATTGACCATGCTACAACTTAATACTATAGCGTTCCATGAAGACCTACACCCAGCAGCCACAGTACCAGATCAAAATGCCAAGCTCTCCACAGGGATGCCATTCCAAGCTAAAGCTGATTTACATACTCTGCTTGGGCCTTATCTTCCAACATGAGCTCTCTTAAGGGACACGCGGTTATAGTTTTATTTTCTATCATTACGGTTTGTGTGGGCTAGATTTTGTAAGCCAAGTGTCCTGCTGTAGCCTAAACTCTATGACTCCATCTTGCTTCATCATTAAGAGTGTGAGAGTCAGGGTCTCTCAGTTGGGAATTGTGTTTGACTGAAGCCTACTGTTCCCTATGGGATGTGGTTTCAGTACACTGGTTGAGGGTTCTCCACACCCCAACCGAAAAAGGCATTAGAATAGATTTACAAGGTAGAAGACTTCATTTTGGGTTAGGGTTTTACTGTCAAGTATCCAAGATCTCCTGCCTCATTGGCAGTCTTTATTTAGATTTCATCTCATAAAGATTTTGTTTGAAGAAAAAATAGAAAGACATTTATTTGAAGAGAAAGTAACATCTAATGAGTTTTCTCTTTGTGTCTTTTTTCCTCTCTGTTTTATGCATTCCCTCTGGACCCTCCCTGAAGCTGAAGAGTATGCTGTTGAAGGTAAGGCTGATGCTTTGCTTTTTGGGCCCTCTGATGGCTTCCCTTAATGCTGTCATGGATGCTCATGCTGGCTGCTTGTTAATACTGTATGCCCTCCCTCTGGGGAGGGGCATTGTCAGTTTGGACTGCGGTTTGAAAGTGACTTCCAGGGGGCTTAAATTACAGTTTTCCAATAAGAGCAAATAGTGAAGTACAAACAAAATGATCTCCGTTTAATCTCTTGTTTTCTTTATCTCGTCTTTTTACATTTAATTTTTGTTTGACTGCCTTATTTTCTCTCAGGATGGCTTGTATGTAGATCAGTAATATGTTCATGCTCCGAGCATTTTTTAAATGTCAAGTCAGCTTGGCAATCTTAAGTTGGTTTACCAGTCATAACACTTTTGTTAAAGTTAAATGACATGACATGGTGAATACTTCCTCTCTATCTCCAGCAAAGGGGAATGAAGGCCTCCTGCCAGGGCACCTGAGGGGCCTCATTAGCTCTAGGGCCAAGCACTTAACCAGTTCTGGATGTAGCAGACTTTAGGGATGGATCAGCATTGACTTGTCTGCCTGCAGGCTGATGCCTGTCTCCACTTTACACTGTTTGATAAGAGGTACACCTACTGGTTGACCGAGTGTGTTTGTCAGTTATATCAGATTCTAGATAGACAGAATCTATATGTTGAGTAGTGAACTGGTGTCTGGTGTTTGTTTGTCTTGGAGTTGCATTTCCTCCTTGTTGAGTTTGAGGTGATGGATTACCTATCACACAATGTGAACCAGCTGGGGAAATTAGTATGAAAGACACCCATTTGCTCCAGGTTTTCTTTAAAGCTGAAATAAATCATGCTGCATTTATTTCTCAATGGTTATACCAAGCATGAGTGTGTTATCTTGTGGAATATTGGAATTATACAATTATACGTCATAGTGTAATTCCATTGTTATCATCTAACCCAGTTAACTCTACTTGAATTCTGGTCTATGCATGTGCATATGTGTACTTACAGGCTGTTTGAAGCTGACATTTTCTCAGTTTGTTCCTACATGAGAGATGCAAGTCTCCTGTAATGATGGTATGTGTGTGTACAATTCTATGTGTGTGTACAATTCTATTTGTGCACGAGTGCCCTTGCAGTTCGTCCAATGTCAGTGCTGCTAAAGCACGGAAAATGTCAAGAGAAAGGTAGGGAACATGAATAGATTGTGGCAATCCCACAATTCTGGCTGACGGAGTAGCCGCTCCAGACTGATGTAGAGTGAGGTGAGGGGCAAGAAAGCTTTCTGTGGGGAACGAGCAGGGGAGTGTGATGAAGATGCATCAATTGCTCTCTGACAGACATAAGGGAGGGTAGGCTTCTCCTGATGGACCATTGTCCTTTGTTAACTTTTACCAGGCTACACAAGTAAAACCAGGCTCTCCAAAATGTAGAAATGTACCGTTCAGAGTTATCAAAGTACTGTAGCAAAGTATTCAATATTGTGGATATATGTTTTTTTTTATATGTCAAGGCAATGTTAACCAGACTTAACCCTTAAACTCAGCATTTACAGTTTTCTTACTGATTTGAAGTATATACTGTAGATCTTTTGCATTGGGCAAAGGCATATGTTGTAAGTTAAGCTTCCTATTAATTATGTGGGCTCCTTGCAACTCGGGAGGGTCACACTTCTCCCTATGCGGAGGTCTAGGTGATTGTTTTGTATTATATCACAATGATTTAGACATACATTAGGGAAATACTATTTAGATTGAAAAGTCCTAAAATGTAAATACTAACACCTCAATTAATTTCTGCTCTTCAAAAAGTAATGTCCTTTAATTAAAAACAAAGAGCTGTGTTCCCAGTTCCCAGTGTGTTGTATCAACAAGACAGCAGATGTATTAAATGGCTCATTGTCTTCAGTACCAATCCCTCAGAGTGCTTCTGCTCTCCTTTCTCTTCTATTACTAGGGTTTCACTGTAAACATATTTGGTCTACTTAGTTGTAGGTGACCATGTGCTAAAAGGTATGTTGAGATTAATGATACACAGAGATGTTGAGAGCCCCGGGGAGGCCGGTGCCCCTGGAAGCCGGCCGGTGGCCCTCGCTCTACACTGTGGGCCGATTGATGATCTGCCTGCGACACTGACCTGTTTTTACTGGCAAGCCAGCCGCACATTGCCATCTGTGTACTGATCACCAAGCATGCCCTCTCCCTGGAGGACTGCATAGGTGATGTATAGTTTCATAATGTAAGCACAGGTCTACCTCATTGCTTTGTGCAGTGCAGTAGCCATTGTCCAATCCATTTTATTTCTATAGCACATTTAAAAACAACAGAGTTGAACAAAGTGCTGTACATCAACAACTGTATAAAAACATAGCATACATACATACAAAACAGACAGGACATGAAACAAATGTAAAACACAAGACACTGAAACCAGATCAGAAGCCACTGACTGAGAAACTCTCCTACATGACGTAAAAACAATACAAAACACTAGTAAGATAAAAACCCAAATTTAAAAGCGCAAGTGTCACCTGGTCTGTAAATGCCAGGGAAAAGAAGTGGGTTTTTAAACGAGATTTAAAAACAGGCAGAGTTGGAGCAAGTCTAACCTGGAGGGGCAATTTGTTCCATAATTTTGGAGCTGCAACAGCAAAGGCTCTGTCTCCTCGCTGCTTTAGCCTTGATTTTGGGACTACCAGAAGTAATCTGTCAGCAGACCTCAGTGACCGTGTGGGTGTGTATGGTTTTAAAAGATCTGCCAGGTACGGTGGGGCTAAACCGTTTAGGGCTTTGTATGCGAACAGTAACATTTTAAATTGTATTCTAAAACTGACTGGCAGCCAATGTAACGAGGCGAGTACAGGCGTAATATGTTCACGCCTGCCTGTCCTTGTAAGGAGGCGTGCAGCAGCATTCTGGACCAGCTGTAGGCGTGACAGGGAAGCCTTGCTTACTCCAATGTACAGAGCATTGCAGTAATCTAGTTTAGTGGATTTAAAACAATGTATTACTCTCTCAAAGTCATTGCTGAAAGAAGCTGGATTTGACCACTTGATCTGTTTGTCTAGTTTCAAATCACGATCAATCCGTACACCCAGGTTTGTGACAATGGGTTTCACATATGGGAATCCAGCACAGGCGGGGCATTGGGGCCACCACTGGGTCCAAATATTATCACCTCGGTCTTTTTTTCATTGAATTTTAAAAAGTTCAAGGCCATCCAGGCTCTGATGTCCTTCAGACAGTCAGACAGACGTTGCTGAGGGTTTGGGTCATTTATTTTCAGGGGCATGTAGATTTGCGTCATCTGCATAAAAATGAAATGAGACGCCATATTTTTTAATGATAGCACCCAGGGGGAGCAGGTACAGGGAAAATAAAATCGGCCCAAGAATGGAGCCAAATGGAACATCTTACAGCACCAGGTTATGTTGGTGGCTGTTATTAGTGGCTGACAAAGACAGACCGCAGTGGTATGGATTATATTTTTTGATTGAACATACACTCATAATTCCTACAAAAAACATTCTATGTGGTCCCTAGTTAGGAAATGGTTACTAAAAACAAAAGTAAAGAAACAATATTGACCAGGCAATACATATGTATGGTGTTTATTCAAATGCTGAAGCTTTAATTTCCCACCCACTGATGGGCTGACAGGTCATGACCATGAACAGTATTGAGTGAAAAAGGGCTCTATACAAGCGGACAGTACCAGATGAAATGTAACCCTGGTCAGTAGGGCTGGCCTCTGAGCCTGGCTGATAGATTTAGTGACCTGGTGCTTCGCTTGGATGAGGGATTTTCCAAGCTGCCCACGCTGATCTTAATCAATCTGATCAAGGCTAATGATCTTTTCTCTCTGAGCCACGCAGACCTCCAATTTAATCTCACCCTGGGGGGGGGGGGTGGGGGGGGGCAATAACATTTTTATTATTTTCCCCGGTGCAAAAAAAATTGAGTTTGATGTTGGCTACAGATATAGGATTATAGATTTGTGTGGGGCCTGTAGTAATAAGAGATTACTTTGGATCATCCAAACCAGATTATGGATTTTGTTCTTCTCAGGAGAAGTAAAACAAAATCATAGACTGAAAACTTGGACGTTTTTCTAAATGCATGTGCGTCAACAAGGTTAGTTGAAAACAGTGTAAGGCAAATATTAAATGCACTGATGTCATTATGGTATTAACCTAGATTTTGTGTGTTTCTGGAACAAATGATGCTTGTACATGATACTTTTTCAAATACCAACTGCTGTTGTTGTTTTGAAAAGCTTTGGCTTAAAGGTAGACCACTTGGTTTGGACCTTACCACAAAGGATAAATTGGGAAAACAATTGAGAATGATAAGCTTTTAAATAAATACCGGCGTAGCATAACAACACAATTTGTCCATTCTTTACAATCAATAAAGCTTAACTGTGCATTTTTCATTGAACACACAAGAGATTTGCAGTGTTCAAACAAAGCCATCGATTGTAGAAGATTGCTGGCTAGCTTTTTACAAACAGGCACTTGAAAAGAAAAGAAAAGGCTGCAAATAAGAAAAAGAAACACACATGCACACAGTGTGCTTATTGGAAGGGGAAAACAGACCAAGGAGTTGAAGGGGGAACAGAGTCTTTCTTCAGCTCTGAAATTGCTCAAGATCCTTTGGACAGTAGGACGCCTTGATGCTGCCTCTGCCCGCCCAGCCTCTGCCAGATGTTGCAGTGAGATAAAGCATCTTCAGGTCCTGAAGGAGCCAGAGTCCAGCCATGCCTGTTCTCACAAGACGTTAATTTCACCCCACACAGCTCACACTCTTTCCTCTCTTTCTATGTGTCTGCTTTGTGATAACAAAGTCTAAAGGGATGGAGTGGGCGTCCACTTGTGAGCAACTCCAGATGCTTCAGTGTCAACATGCGTAGCCACAGGCAATACTGTTTGCTGTGATGGAGAGAGAAATTGATTGGACAATGCATGTCCTGGAGCTGTGGGGTGTATAGTGTTTGTTTGTGTGTGTATGTGTGTAC